TTCCAGTGTGACCTTAGGCAAGTCACTTAGCCTCACCATGCCTCAGTTCCCCACCTGTACAATGGGGAGAACAGCCCTGCCCTGCCTCATGGGGGCTCTGAAGATAAAGCCATTCGAAGGCTGAGAGGTGCTCAGATGCTACAGAGACAGGGACCATCTAAGTTCTTTTGCTGGGAGGCTCCCTGCTCGCTCCTCAAGCCCCCACACAAAGGAGCAGCAGCAGAAGCTTTAAAAGGCTCCACTCTTGGCTTCCCCCATATCTGGGGCACCAGCCTACCAGGGGTGCTTTGGGAGGCTGGCAGCCTTCCTAGCCCCATTCCTTTGGGGCAGTGTCGGCACACCCCGCACCCCTTCCCTGGGCTTCTCAGAAGTAGCAGGGGACACGACAGCAGCTTGGCCTTGAAACTTGCCCACGGAAAGGCAACGGGGAGCCCAGAGCACTGGAGGCTGCAGGGGAGGGGTGACACCACGCTGCAGGGGAAGGAACCGTCTCATGAACCCCGTGTCAATGGGGCGACATCGGCAGCTGACAGCAAATGCCTCCGCGGGAATACAGAAACTGGCTGGGAACATGCCTGAGAAAGTACTTGCCTTTGTGATGGCCAAGGCAGCCCGCATCCCCCATTCTGAGAGTCCCTAAATGCCCCAGCTCCATTCATGCACTGCTCTGGCTGTGTTTTTAGCCCTGCTCGTGGCCTTAGTGTAACGCTCTGAAGTCTGTGCTGGCAGGAGTTCATCTACCGCCTTGGCGACCCATTGGCTTTCATTGGGCAGATGTGGGGAGCAGGGAGAAGGGCATCCTTGGGGCTGCTGCACCATCCTGCTGCCACAGCGAAAAGCAGGCAGAGAACCACCGGCTGAGCACTGCTGTGAAAGAAACCCCCAAGGCCTGGGCCTAGCCCCGGCTCCCCGGGAAGAGCGCGCAGGCCGGGTGAGCCGCAGTGGAAACACAGATCTGCAGCAGCTGAGACTGGACACCCCCTTTGCCCCAGAGAACAAAGCGCCCCTTAACACCCAGCCTGTCCAAGAAGCTCACCATCGCTTGTGGCCCAGGGCACTTTCCGCACAGGAAGCTCTTCAGGGCAGGGCTGGAGCTTTGTCCTGGGTTTATGGAGTCCGTAGCCCAGCAGGGCTCTGGGTCCTGACAGGGCCCCTAGAACTGCTGCAACACAAACAAGCAATAATCCTAGCCCCAGCGTCCTGGGCGGTTCTGCTCTGGAAGGCAGATCAGTGCTTGGGCACAGGACGCAGACAGCCCAGCCCAGGGGGAGGAGACAGCTTTAGGTCATCTGGTTTTCTGCAAAGGCCACTTCAGCCCCTGGCACATGCAACAGCCACCTCCCTACTGCTGCCTAAGGGCTGTGGTACCCCCAGGGCACCCTCCGCCCCCGACTGCCCCCATGCAGGGATCAGGGGGACAGGGGCAGACAGAGTTACTCACGTCAACCCTGCACAGCTCCTGCCCCAGGGGAATAGAAATCTCCCTGCTCCGTCTTCTTTGCAGCCTTTAGGTGTTGCCAGTAAAGCACATAGGGGTTAGGGCCAGAAACAGCCCCACTTTCTTACACTCCCCCTTGCAACTTCCATAGGAAGCAACATTCATCCTTTCCTACCTAAAATGTCGTATAGTGTTGCTCTGCATTGCTGAAGGGCTGCCATGTTCCACCCCAGAGGTGGCTGTATTTCTTTCGTGAGTGCTGCGGTCTCTATATATTGCTTCCACCTGCTGGTCCTGTGCCCAATAGCAGTCATGACCATAGACTGTAAATGGCCCCAGGAGAACTGCCTGCTCAATCCATTCACTAATGTTCTTTTCTTAGCCACACAAACCTATTGCTGCCATTAAATTATCCCAAGCCAGAGTGGGTGAAGAAGTCTCTGGCCCCAGTGTGGTGACAGCTTTGCCCCAGCAAAGAAGAAATCTGCCCTGCAGCATTCTTGAAATCAGCAAAATAAGGTCAAGGCGGCACTAACCACGCAGGATGCGCAGCATCAGATTGCAGATGGTTTTACCAGGGAGTGATGGGGGCTGACAGCAGCTTCTGCTGCCAGTACCACATGCTCAGCCTCGAGCAGAGGAAGGAAACGCAGCCAAAGGAAAACAGGAGTCTCCAAGTTCCTACAGCTCATGTTGAAAGGATAGAAAATCCGCCCCAAGGCTTGCCCTGCTCGAACATCTGGGGTTGGGCGGGGCCTGTGCTCTCCCAAGCACTACGCAGGCCACAGGATTGAATCACTTACCAACGGCACTGCTGGACCGCAGCCCCGCTCTAACCTATCCAAAGCAGGTAGCTACTGATCTGTGTTTAAATCTCTGCCCACCAATCCCCATCTCCTAGCGTTCCTGGCACTAGGAGACCCGGAGATCTGTGGAGTCCAGTTTCCAGGGACTGCGTCCTCTAGCTGCATTGTTACACAGTGTGACACTTGTTTACCAGGCCGGCACACGGGCGGAGTCCTGACTAGGTGAAGCCCTGGCATTGCTATTGTACAGCACGTGTCACTCTGGGGGGAAGAGGGGCTGATGGATTTGTATTCACATGGAGCAAAGCCATGCCTGAATGGTGTAACCGCACGGACAATGGAATTACAAGGCTACCCAGCAAGGCAGCAGCAAGCTGAAGCCACTGTTTACAATATCTCCTGCAAAACAACAATTCCCCGTTCCCAGAATCCAAGCAGAACACTGATATGATTGAAATGAACAAAAAATGCTTCCACAATGCAACTTCCTGGCACTGTTCTGGGCAGGGAGAGGTTATTCTGAGCAGGGAAGCACACTGCCATGCTCTGGAGGCCCAAGGAGGGGGCCAGAGCGCGAAAGACCCCAGCTTCTGAGATGGTCTGGAGAGGAGCAGAACCGTGGGCCACAGCCACTCTGGGGCTGGCTGTCCCCAGCGAAGCAGCTCGGTCGCCATGGAAGCTCATAATGACGTTGGGACACTGTTGAGGGAGCTACTCTGGAGGTTGCCACCTTTCCTTTTCATTTGCAGCTCCGGGACAGGGCCCAGCGCCGGAGCTTTGCAGGGGTTTGGTGACAGGCGCTGACTGGGAGCTAAGGGCAGATCTCCAGTTTCACTGCCCATTACAGCATCTCACTCTGCCGACTGCCTCACTTTGCCTAGAGTCCAAATGTCCTGGGACTCCTCCCAAAACGGCCCCTGTTCGGTCTTTAGAACACTCCCAGCAGGAGTCCGTGGTTCCCTGTGCTCAGGCCGCTGAATGCTTCTCTGAGGCATTGGGCAAACAGGTTCAGAGCAAAAGCCACACCCCCGAACCGACATGCACCCCAGAATCCCACCCCCAAATATCCTCAGAGCTTTGCTAGAGGTTAATCAGATCCAGCTCACAGATTTGCCTTAGGCCTGCCCCCTTGGGCTGGGAGCAGCACCTGCTGCCTGGGGAAGCGTCAGAAAACAACCTATTCACTCCTTGCTGCTGTAAAAAATTAAATAAAATTTAAAAAAATCACTAGACCCCATGACCCTCAATTCCTGTGAAACAGGGGAATCAGCATGGCTCCCCAGACAGATCCAGCTGTTCAAGGGCCAAATTAATTCCTGTTGTAACCTTACTGACTTCAGCAGATTCATACCAGGGATGAATTTGACTCAAATCCAGTACAGTCCTCTGGGGATGACACCCCCACTTCCCCTCACCCCTGAACTCCAAACAAGTCATTATGGGGAGGGGGGAAATCCTTCTGCACTAAATAATTTTTAAGGAATTGAGTGTGATACTTCCTGTAGGTCCTACATAAACAAATCTGTGGCCACATGCAGTAATGCCAGGGGATGCACATAAACTGCTTGGTTTACGTTTGGCCCAGAGGAAGAGGCAGGACAGCTATTTTAAAGAAAAAAGCAGTAATTTGCATGAAGACCAGACTCTCTCCCAGACTCTGCAATGTGTGTGGGATGGAAGGGGGGACAGGGTGGGAGGGTTCTGGGGGTCAGCAGAGATCCTGTCCACTTCCCACTTCAGAGAACTAGAGTTGGAGCAACCTGCTGAAGAGCAAGCTGGTTGCAGCTCCATCTGTGGCTCTTTCTGGTAATTTTGATTGCTAACTTGGCTCCTGAAACCCTGAGGAGTGTCACTGATCTAGAGCCTGTAGGTACCACATCTGGGGCAGCAGCAGCTGGGGATTCATGCAGGGAGGTACCCACCCCCGGCTAGGGTCACGTGACAGCAACTGCACTGCCGAGAGGCAGCTGGGCAGACCCATGCCAGACTCTGGTCTGTGCAAGCACAGCAGTGTGGGCAGCTGGTCAAAGCCCAGGTGATGTCCCCCCACCCCTGCTACGGCAGGAAATTCCCCCAGTCTGGAGGCCAAGGCTGCCGGTGAGGGCACCAGTTAGTGTCACTGGGGTGCAGGCAGCTCTCCGTTAGGGACTGGGCTGAGACCCATTAAACCCATTTCAGCCAGGCCAGCACACAGCCACCAGGAGAGGTGGCTGGGGGGGATCTGAACTGGGGAGCTGGGAGTTCCTGTCTCCCAGTGCCCGGGCTCTGAGCTGCCCTGTCCCCTGGGAAGAGGCTTCTAAGGAGAATTAGAGCTGAGCCTGCAGGCTCCTCGTCCAGACACTTAACAGTTAAATTGGGGCAGTTTTGTGGTTCTCACGCTGGGGTCTCCCCCTCTCTTGCCTTCCCTGTGCCCAGCTCCAGGTCTGAGCATCCTTGTGCCCCCGGGAGTGTGCGGGAAGGGGGGGGGGACCTGCCTCAGGCCAGTGACTCGGTATCCTGCTCTGTGCACAGACTGGTGGAAGCCAGATGCCACAGGATGGATTCCTCCCAGCCCAGGGGGTCACACCAGGCCCCCTGCACCAGTTACACCCTTTAGTTTGGCCCCTTATTAAGGGCTTTAGTGGTGTGAGGGGCCTGCAGGGTCCCTCTCTGCTGGGCAAATTTAAGCCCCACTGTCTATTTCATTCCCAAGGGTTGCCTCTTGGAACGTACCTGCAGGCCCCACCCTTGAGTGACCAGCCAAGCAAACCACCTACCTCCAGCTCCTTAAAGAAGATGCAGCTCCGTGCCCACTCCACAATGGAGAAGAGGGTCTGGTCTGCCATCTTGCACATGAGGCCAAAGGTGCTGAGTTTCTCATGCCGGCCTTTGCCCTGCTCCTGTTGCAGACAAGCCAGTATCCGCGCCTTGACCTGGGGCTCATCAGGCTCCAGCTGCAGCAGCTTGAGAATGACCTCTGGGATGTCGGGTGGGGCGCTGTTGGGATAGGCATCTGGATACATGTAGCTGGCCATGGACTCATGGGAATTTGTGTAGTGGTCAGGGTACTCTGACTTGATGGTGCGGTTGGGAAAGGATGGGTAATGGTAGCTGGACAGTGCCCCGTGGCTTGGCACAGTCATTCCCAAGGATGGCGTCCCATATGGACTTCTGTCGTAGTCGACTGGCGTCATAGTGGCCGGGTTGGGAGGCAGGCTCTTGGACACCGAATGGATGCCATGGATGGTGGAGGACAGGTTGTAGTCAGTTTGCACTGGGGACACGATCTGAGGCACAGTCTCCAGCTTAAAGCCATTGGCGCGTATCAGAGCTTTCTTCTGCTGTTTTAAGGCACGATCTCGCTTGTACATGGGGCCGAATTTATTTCTTCCTCCTCGCATCCGGTCCGCACGCACAGCTGTGGGGCAGAGAGAAAGAAGGGCCTTTGGAATTCAGCTTAGCCTAGGGGAGCCTTATCACCCCAAAAGATCATGGCAAATAACCCTGAGGGCTCTGTCCAGATAGACTGGGGGGAAGAGGGTGGGGAGGAGGAGGGGAAAAGGCCGGGTAGTACCCAAACACCCTCTTGGTGAAACAATGCATCTTGTCCTGCAGCCGTTCCATCACTGGAGTGATGGACGGCTGCATCGGGACACAGGGCTCCTGGTGCAGAGTCTGTCCTGGGGCAGTTATGCTGCTTCTGAGCAGCGAGTAGGGGGTGCTGTCCTAGTGAGGCAGTATAACCCCACTGGCCCTGGAATACTAAGAGCATCAGGTTGAGAACACTTCCTGAGGCCCCGTCCTCCATGACAGAGCTGCTTCTCTCCTGGGGTCTAGATCAGTGTCGCAGACCTGCCCCCCAGCAGGCATAGCCCCAGCAGTAAGGCCATCTTCAGCCACTCCCTGCACTGCAACTCACTAGCCATCAAATCAAAGAGTTTCAATTTGCAGAAAACTATATCTCAGCAGCATTGCCCAGTCTCACTATTTTATCACAAGTCTTGCAATATTGGTGCTTTTCTTAAAGCCCAAGCTCCTGGAGTCAGGTGAATATGTGAGAATCTCATCTTTCATTTAAAAAAAAGGGGAAAACAAATTAAGTTTCTAGTGCTCGTTCTTGCAGACAAAAGCTTGAAAATGTGAAGTCAGGAGGCAAATAAAAACAACCCCAAGTTATTGTTTTTTAAAATCTCAAGATTTTTAAACATAACCTCACAATTTGCTGGATCTTGACTCGTGACTTTGGAATGACTGGGAGTTACAATAGTTTCTCTGAGATTTTGTTGAATTGGATCCAGTTGGGCACTCCTTCCTGTCAGTCCCTTCCAACGCCACCATTACACGCAAGACAAATGGTCAGGAGAGCTCTCCAAAATATATTGGCCTGATCTACAGTTGGTGTAGACCAGCCTAGTTCCATTGACTTCAACCAGACTGTATTGATTTGCACCAGCCGTGAGTCTGGCCTGGTGTGCGCGTGATTAAAATTGGCTTAAAACTTTGCCCAAGGAGTTTTACAACAAGGTCCTCACCCCCGTTAGAACCTCTCCCCTTTCCAAGAAACAGACGTTCTCTCTGGACCCCAAAAGAAACACAAGAATGTGCCACTGCTCTAGGAAACAGGTGCTTCTTTGCTTCACAAGATCATTCACTTTCCTCGGCAGCCGTTCCCAAGAGTGTTTTTGCCTTAAAAAAACACTCTTGGAAGAGCCTCAAATAGTTGAAAGCTCCGCGTTGGAGATCTGCGCGGACGGATGTGAGGAAGGCTGGGCAGCTGGTGAACCCAGGGCTTGGGAAGCCATGGAAAATGTGTTCAAACAGGGAAAGCAACTAGCTTTGCCACCCCACTCTGAGTGGAGAGATCAAGTGTTTGTGCATCAGCCGTTATTTCTGCAAAAGGCCTCTGACTAACCTTTCCTTTCACTGCAGCCTCGGAAACCCCTTTAGCAACCTTCACTGCACAACAGAACCACAGTGCTGGCTGAGTTTCTCAGAGACTAGCTGGGAACAGGGGAGCATTGATTAGGGACTGAAAGCCAGCCAGGAGGCAGGAGATGTTTGCAGAGACTTTCCTTGAAGCGGCACTCGCACTCCATGGAGAATGCTCTCTCCAGAGAGAATCCAGTTTCTTCCCATTTTTCCTCCCTCATTCCTTCATACCTAGGGATATTTGCATGGAAACAGCCTCTCTGGGGGGCTGGCTGGCTAAGGGCAACAATGCCTGTGGAATACAGAACACTTCACCTCTCCGTCATTGTTTGAGATCCCACCTGATTTACCCTCCAGTGGCTGGGCCATAGGTTATATGGCTGCCTTAGGCCAGTTCCTCACAGAGAGCACGTGAAAACCACCTCCACGGTCAGCACTAACCTGCGCCTTTGGTGGCAGCCTCCACAGAAAGGCCAAGCACTGAATGAGCCAGAGAGACCGAACTCCCCTTCCACACTTATCCTTTGTCTGCACTACAATGGTTTGTTCCCATTTCCAGAGCTTAACACGGCATAAAAGCCCCCATACACAGAGAGCGTTCAGGTGCTTCTCTCTGCTCAGAGCAGGTTTTCATGCCCACCGGAGCCCTCTCTTCGTCAGCTGTGACGTCACTGCTACCTCCGGTGCCACTGTACCACTGGGAGAGAATGGCTCGTGACGACACCCTTAGAAATGACTCCTGCCACCCAGGCTTGTGGCACAGTGGGGTTTGCAGAGGAAGTTTGCACAGCTCCTACCTGGGCTGTACCTGAGCTGTCAAATAAATAGAGGCGGGCAGGCCCCAGGGCACTTGGTGTGGCATCTTTCACAAGCGGGAAATGAACGCACCCTTTTTTCTTTAAAAACAAGCACCTTAAGAGAGAAGACGTGCTTTGATTCTCATGCGTTCCCCTGTGCCAACTATTCATACATCACCTGGGATCATAAACACCTCGCTGCTTGCTGCATCCCAACTGTGTTATTGGGCTGCCACAAACACAAGATTCTGATCTCAGGTGGGAAACCGAGGGCAGGGCAGATGGACTGGTTAGAAAAGCAAGGATCCTGTATTCATTCAAATGTCTCCAGGAACAGAATGAAACAGGAAGTACAGATGTCTCCAAACTAAGGACAGACAAAAATGATGGAGGCTGAGATTTTCGCAGCTACTTAGACTGTTTCTTGGATTCTCAGCACAATCTGAGCTTATGAATCTTTTTGGCTGTAGTTTAACACACACTCACCTGCTCTCACTCTCTTTCACATACACATGGCAACTTAAAACAATCAGCATTAGCTTCGACTCTTTGCCGTGAGCGAAGGATCGAGGGATCAAAGCTAGGCTGCTATAAGGAGATGCCCTATGTGCCATGATATTTTTCACTCTATTAAGTAGGGCAGTAGCATGTAAACCTCCCAACTCATGGAGAAGGGTCAGAATTAGGCAAAGTGAATTCACCCATCTCCATTCTAGGTGGACACATCTTCAGTGTGGCCTCAGCTACTCTTTTATTCTCCAGAGTTAGTGCAGAAAGAGCCAGCTCTACCGGGACCTGGTTACTAATTCCGTACTCTGTGGAGAATGTTCCTGACAGATCAAGGTTACCACCCACCTTCTCACTGAAGCTCCTCCCCTCACGCGCCCACCATGCATTTCAGGATCTGCTTTGAAATTGTTCTTCCTCTTTTTAAAACTCTCCCTGGATTTGTTCCAGCGCATATCACAGGCCCTCTCTGCCCCCTCAGGCCTAGCACAGGCCTCCTCGCCATCCCTTCACGTAATCACACCGCAATCGGTGCAAGAGCCTTCTCCACTGGATCTTTGCATCCCTCTTGCCCCTGGCCTGCACCACGCAGTGTTTCTGCCCCTCTGCTGCACGTGTAATTCTTTGAAACATGCTCACCGGGGGGATTTGCATGGACCGTGTTGTGCTGTCACTCTAGAGGGAAAGCCTGTATGTGACACCTGTTATTATCAGAAGCTGAACTGTGACCAGCGCAAAACACACGGTACTCTGTGAATGCTGGGCAGCTTCAGAGACTCTCTTGTCGCTCTATTGCGGAGCACTCGGGTGAGGATTCTGATTTGTCTGGGATGTGCTGAGATTGTGTTTTTCACACAGTCCAGACTTCTCGGTCGTTTCCTTTCTTGAGCATCAAGAGAGCCTATGTCAACATCATACTTGCCCCCAAAATCAATAATTTCAGACTTGCTTTTGTCCTATTGAGTTGACGGATCTCTTTAGAAGTGTCAGTTCAGATTTTCTGCCCAGCAAATACTAATAACTAAGGAAACGTAAGCTCCAATTTTCACTACAAAAGACAGACAGTCAAGCTGGGATGTCATTTTCCCTCTAGGTGATCCCTGGTGGATAAGCTACTGCAGAGTTTCATCAAGCAGCTCAGAGGGCAGGGAAAAGGGTGCTTTGAACAGACAGGCAGCAAATACCCCGGCTTTGCCTCTGAGGCCCACAAACACACAGGACCACACTCAACTCTGCTGTAAGCCTGGGAAGCGCCTCGAAGTCAGGCGGGTGCAACTCTGTTGCCAACAGGGAACTCGGGGCTCTGATTTCAGTGTCCCTCACCCATTCACCACACACAGAAGCAGAGTATGAGTTCTGATTGCCAGCGAAGGCAACCGTGCCCTACCTGTGCCTTGTTCCATTGCCCAACTGTTCTCAGTTACAAGACAGAGTGCTGGTACAAAGTGTCAGACCCTGCGATTTAGCAAAGCCCCTGAGCAGTGCTTAATTTGTAATGAAAGAGGTACCAGGGCTCAAGCAATTTTTTTATTTTCATGATTGATGCAGCAAGCCCAGAGGTGCCAAAGCTCTGAACTGCCAAGCCCAGAGGTGCCAGGGCTCAGCCCTTGCAAGCCTTAGCACAAATTGAGCCCTGCCCCTGGGTAAGCCGGACAGTTGGCTCAGGACCTGTTTGTAACTAATATTCCAGTCTCAGCCAGGCCTAAGGCTCTGATCTGCTTTTGAAATGACACTCAGCGCTGATGCCATGTAGTGTAGTGGGAGTTTGCATTGGCTGCCTTTGCAATTAAACGATGTGTCCTGCTCTTAACTGTTCAGCCTCCAAAGCCTTCTGCCTCCTTCCTGCTTGGGAAATGATTTCAGTTTCTATTCAGGTATTAGCAGTACTTTATGTTCAACCCCCACTTTGCCCTTAGTGCCCATGTGAATGGAGCACTGAGTCCCGCAGCCTTGAACAGGTGAGAAGTGCTCCACTAGCGTCAGCACTGTCTGCCCAGACCTTTCGATTTGGTGTAAAATTTAGTCCCTTTTTTCCCATTTTTGTTACCCGGCGTTTCTAATGGTTTCCCCTGGCCCTGTGCCCTGTGTGCAGTGTGAAGTTCTGCAACATCAGTGGGTAAGTGCCACGTCAAACACATCATAACACAGAAAACAACATGGCCTGATTCTGCTATCAGCCACACCAGCATAAATCAAGACTGACATCATTAGACTGACCCCAATGTCAATCTGGTGAGAGACCCCCTGTGCTACTATGGGTCCCCTTGTATAAGGAGAAATTCCTGTTACAGTGAACGTGGCAAAAGAAAAATTGTATTCTCACTATGGCATCCTGCCATTTTATCCTGATTCTCACGATACTCAGTGTTCTCCTTAAAGCCTCGCCTCTGGGAATTATGCAAAAATAGGGGAATCTTGGCTTTCATTTAAAATAAACCAAAAAAAACCCCAAAACCCAGAACATTTTCAAGCCCTTTAGCTCGCAAAGAAAGCCTTGAAAGTGTGAACCCTAAATTCTGAAAAACCAAAAGGCAAATCAAAAGAACCCGACATTTATTATTTTTTTTAAATCTCATGATTTTGGGGGGGCTGACTCATGTTTTTTGAATGCTAGGGGTTGGTTGGCTATGCTGTATCCTGGAGGCTGGTGAAGAAAAAAAAAAAAAACTATCTAGCCCTGAGCAGAGAGTTTACTTGGAATGATGATACTACAGTGAGAACCAAGGGCTGTTTTTAATTCTGAGGTCATTGCTTAATTCCCAGGCACAGCTGTGCCAGATGGTCTCATAACCTAAAATATTGCCCAGGAAGATACAGACCCACTGACCCAACCCAAATCATGTTTAAATAAAAAGAAATGAAGGAACCACAATTCCAACACACTGAAGAAATAATTTCTTTTGCTAGCAGCAGCTGTCGTAGCTGGCTTTGGGCCTGATCCTGCGTACGGGCTGCCCTCAAGTCCCAGTGATATCAATGGGAGAAGACAGTGCTCCACATGTCACAGGATCTGGCCCAGTTCACACCACAGCCCTACCGCTGACGACCCTCCCTTCTTCCCCTGGGGCACGCAGAGCTAAGGTGCACGAGGTGGCGGACCGGGGCTCTTACCTTCTAGTCTCATTCCCACCGTCAAGCACTTCTGAAAGCGACAGTAGGGACATCTCTTCCTCTGGGTTTTGTCGATTTTGCAGTTCTGGCTTTCGGTGCAGGTGTAGTGCTTGTTATTCTGCACGGTCCGCTTGAAAAAGCCCTGATGATAAGGAGAGAAGGCAGAAATGCGGGGCCTTACCACGCCAGCATTTGCAGTATGAGCAGGGCGAAGCAGGCGTCCCGGGGAAGGGAGGCTCCTGCCCTGGGCTGCTGTTTAACATAGATGCCTGGAGCATTTCTTTGCAGCCCCACCGTCCTCGGCGCAGGGCACCAAGTGGCTTCGGGAGAGCGGGACACTACACACCAGTTACAATAGCACCTTAGCGGACAGCTCTGCTGTTGCCCAACAGTGCATCATCTCTGGTGGCTTTTATTTTCTTTGCCCCTATCTTCTAGTTGGGGGAAATTACTTAAAAAACGGCAAGAACAAATTCGCGGAGCTGGATTTAAGGGCAGCGAGCAGCGCCAGGGGGGAAGCCCACTGCTAGAAAAGCGAACAGCCACGGACAGGAGCTGCAGAGCCAGAAATCATGTATTTTCGTTCAAGTTTTTAAAAGACAAAGGCTGCAGGCTTGGCTTCTCTCCCCAGTGTCTGAACTCCCCTGCCCTGGGAAGGTGTCTCTTCTCAGTCAGACATGCTCTGAACTCCAGGAATCTGACTGAAAGACCACGGGAAACATTTGATGTTTTTCATCTGCTTAGGACTCTGCAGAAATAGGATGGGCCAGATGCTCAGCTGGTGTAAAGGAGCGAAGTACTCAAGGCTCATTACACCTATTGACAGCAGCTCGTGCTGAACGCTTAGGAAATGCCCGGGCTCCAGTGGGGAAGCCCACGAGGCCCTTGCTTTCCTTTTGTAGATTTCTTTTTTAAACACATTTGGGCAATTGTGGAGAAGATGAATCCACAAGTCAGCCTGCCTCTCAATCTTCATTAACAGCCGAGGTTAGAAAGGGGCCTGCTCTTTGAATACAAATCTGTGTCTACGGCGTGATTTATGTCTTCAAAGGCCTGGGCAACCATTGCCCCAAACCCCCCCGGTCAGCGGGAGCAGTGAGGATGCCGGGACACTTCAGGGGGCCCCGTAGAAAGGCCCCAGAAAGACCCAGGTGAAGAGCCCACCGCGCAGGATGCCAGCAGGCCAGGCCGGAGCCCTGCGCAGCGCAGCTCGCCCCCAGGGCCTCCGCTCCGGTGCGGCTGGCTTGCCCCAGAGGGGGCCCGGGGCTCAGGCAGAATGAAAGGCAGGGCCAGGCTGTCTGCATAGGGCCTGGGGGGCGATGCTCCCCGCTGAGAGCAAGGAGACTGTTTTACATTCTTCAGAAGCAATTTGAGAGCTCCCCCCTTCCCCCCCACCTCTGATTTTAAGGAGCCGGATTTTGCCCTCAGTCCAAAGCCTCTGAAAATAAAACACAGCCAAGGGCTGGCTGATCCGCGGCATTTAAAAGAGGATCTTTCCAGCTTCTGCCATCCCTCCCAGCCCAGGCAGGTTGTGCTATGGGAAAGACCCGACCCCTCTCTCCCTGTCCCCCGCCGACCCCTTAAACCAGAGCTACAGGTAGCGGCCAGTCTCCAATCTGCAAAAGATAAATGTCCCATTGCCTGGGAGACCCTCCCATTTCACCTGATTGCACCTTCAGGCCGGGCATATACACGCAGCTGATGGGAATTAAAGGGGGAAGGAAAACGCCTCCCTAGGTCAGGGGAGCCGCTTTCCTTCCAGAGGGGCCTGGACCCGCGGTCAGCGCCCCGGGTACTGCCCCTCCGCACCCAGCATCAGCCCTGCGGTAACCACAAAACTCTGCACGAGTCGGCTTCTCTTCGCTTTGCTTTCTAGTCACTTGGGGATTTGGTTCCGCGATTTTCTCTCTGTCTCCGGCACTTCTAAAGCGCCGGTCACCTGCGCTGCAGCTCGATTGCGCGGGAATTTGAACAGGATGCGCCAGAAACACAGCGCGCTCCGCTCTCACTAGATGCCCCCCAGGCGCCGGCGGTATCTCCCCATGCAGCCCGCCCGCCGCGGTGCGCCCCGTTCCCCGCCGCCGCCAGCACGGAGCGGTGCCCCTGGCAGGGCGCAGGGCCGCCGCCACTTCCATTCCATTTTACAGCGAGCCACGTTACCGGGCCCGGTGTATTCCGCGGTGCGGATCCGTGGTGCAAGCGAGGTGCACCCTCCTGACTGCGAAATAAACTCACCCGCAGCCCCGAGAGGGCTAACGGTAGGGTTAGCATTTTTAAACTAAAAAAAAAAAAAATCCCTGAACCATTTGACTGAATTTATTTCGGTTGATATAAAATTAATATTTCTTCTAAAGAGCTATTAAAAAAACCCTAAAGAGCCTAAAAGTCTATTTTGGTTTGTTCTGATGAGCCGAAGAGTCAAACGGAAAATAAAAGACAGACACAACAAGCTCTCGAGCTTGCGCCGTTTCAACTCAACGAACTTTTAAATTACGTGGGGAAATGCGGGGGTCTAAACAGGGAGGGAAATGACTCTAGCTGCTCCGGAGCTACACGCCGGCCCTGAATGTCCGAAAATATTCTGGGAAGGCAGCAGGTCACCCAGGGGACCAGCGGCGGCTGCAGTTTCGTTTTAACAAATTAAATGGCAGGCAGCGAAACCTGTCCCGGACCTTGTCTTATACGCAAACAACAATCAGATTACTTTGGACTTCGGGTATCTTCGAATACGGGCGCGGGGCTCGGATTTTGTTGAATAAACTCCCCTTACGCCCCCCTAACTCCCCCCGGCACTTTAACCGGGGCCAGTAACAGAAACGCTAAATAAATCGGGGAACAGAAGCCGGCAGCTCTCCGACGCTCTGAGGCAAAGCGTCATTATTGAAATACTTCCCCGCGGGCAGTCTGGGTTTGCTCTGTAGACTAACCCCGTTCATTTCTACTCCAAGAACAGAAATTATTTTAGTTCCTTAATTATCCTTTATGGTTATGTGCGCGGCCACATTTCCCCGATTTGCCGCGTCAACCCCGGCCGAGTTTCCAAAAGCAGCCTGTCCCTGGCGGGTGCTGGACTGCGGGCTTTGCATTTATTATGATGAAAATGCAAGCGCCGTTTCGGAAGTACCCCCACGCCTGTCTCTGCGGAGTCGCTCCAAGAGAGGGGCAGCCCCTTCGCTGAAATTCACTTGCAGCTTCAGCCTTTACACGCGCAAAAACCGCCGAGCGCTTCGTCCAGGATTTTATGGGAAACGATATTTGTTAAATTCCGCGCTCCCGGCTAAAATCGAGCTTGGGCACCGGCAGGGGGGGAATCGGGGCTTCCCCAGGCAAATGAACCCCCCCCCTAATTTATTCGCCAGGCACATTTTGCGTGTTAAAACCCCCAACCAGACGGCCCTGGCGAGCGCTGCAGCGCGTGGAATTAGAGCACAACGATTTCCTGGCCTTGCTGATCAATCCCTAACTCCTGCCAACGAAACCCTGGAGCGGCCGGGGTGCCCGCCGTGCCCCCGCCCGCGTTTGGCTGGAGCCGGCTGCTAGGGGCCCCTTTCAGGGCGAGCCTCCCCAGCTCGCGGCGGAGCGAGGGGACTGGAGCCAAGCCCGCCTGGAAGGGGCGACCGGGACAATTCCTCCTGGCCCCTTATCGATAGCAACAGGGCCTCGTGCCCGGCCCCCGGCTGGGCGGTTTCCTACCTTGCAGCTTTCACAGGTGAGCAGCCCGTAGTGGTATCCGGAGACCTTGTCCCCGCAGACAGGACACAGCTCATCCAGGTCCTCATCATAGGTATAGTCCATCACCTCCAGCGGCCCGCCTGCGGGAACGAAACCGGGTCAGCGCGGGAGGAGCCGTGGGGAGAAGCCCGGCAGCCCCTGGGCCGGCCCGGCGGGGTGGCGCGGAGCGGAGCGCGGGGCGCTGCGGAGCGTGACAGGCAGGTGGTGGGTGCTGCGGGTGGACCCTTTATAGCGCCTGAGGCTGCAGATCCAGGCTGGTGCGGGGAAGTGACCACCCCCGAGGGGCGGCAAGCCCGCCTGTGGGGGGGCCGCAGCCAGCCGCGGGGGGTTGGGAACAGGGCGGGGGCGGGGGAAGGGGCCTGGAGGGCAGGGCCGGAGAGCGGTGCCACCCTCGGTTTCCCGCTCTCGGCGCGGGGCTGGGGTGCCAGGGGCCGGGGGCTGCCCCCGGGGAGCCGGGGCCGGGCGCTGTGCCCGGGAGCGGGCCGGGATTCCGAGGGGTCTTGGCTCTGGCTGCGCCCTGCCCCGAGGAACTCCCGGCCGGGGACAGGCCCGGGGCTGAGAGGGAAACCGCCCGTCCCCAGCTCCGGGCTCGGGGTCCCGCTGGCCGGGCGCACTCAGGGGCTCCGCGCGAGTCCCTGCAGCCGTCCGGGACAATCCTAGAGCCGAGGCGAGTGAGGGCAGGGGACAGGTCATGGCTCGGTCTGTCCCTGCTCCCCGCCGCTGGCTTCCCCCCGGGCCGGGACGCGCCTCGGCTGCAGGGCGAACCGCGGGCACCTCCGGGCTTCTGTCACTACCGAGCCCGCCCGCGGGAGCTGCCGCTGGGCAGCCCGAGCCCGGCCCCACCTCGGCGGCTCCACTTTGCCCCAAGAGCCGGCGGGAGCTCAGCTCCCTGCACCGACGGCACCCCCAGTACCGGGCCATGGCGCAGAGCGGGCCCCGGGCCCTGCAGGGGTCCCAGCGCCACCCCCTCTCCATCCCTGCCCCAGGGGGCCCAGGGCCTCTGAGCCCGCCAGCCCGAGGCCCTGTCCGGCTCTCTGGGGAGCCTGGAGCTGTCCCGGAGCGGCGGGGAAGGGCACAGGGGCGCACACACGGCCACCGGCGCGATGGCCTCTCCCGGGTGACTCGGACCCTTGGCTGCCCTCTGCAGTGGCCTGGCAGCGCAGGGCAGGGCCGCCCCTTGGCCCCTGCAGCCACCAGGGGCTTGCCCCGAGACGGGGGCGCAGCGGGCCAGCGCCCCGCCCGGGCCGGCTCATCGGTCGCTGCAGGCTCTGACCCGTGCCCGGGGCAGTGCCCTCCCGGGACCCGGCCCGTCGCAGCTCCTCGGCGACCACTAGAGCGTCCCTTAGCCCCGCAATCATCCGGCGAGCGCAGCCCGGCCCCGCCCAGAGCTCCTGCGCTACCCCCGGCTCTAACCCGGCACGGATCGGAACGGCCCGGGCCCCAGCGTGCCCCACACTAGACCGTGGCTCAGCCACCGCCGGCCTTTGAGCACCGAGGGGAGGTGGGTCCCGTCTCCAGGTGCCCAGATCTCGGCGCTCAGCTCCGCGGGCTCAGAGCAACCGCCCCCGCCCGCCCCAGCCCGTTCGTAACCGGGACCAGGGAGCAGCGCCAGCAAAGGTCCCGCTCGCCCTGGTGCCGCGCAGGGGCCGCCCGCGCTGCTGCGCTCCGAGAGCCGGCCCGGCCCGGCCCGTTCTCCCCGGGTCGGCCTGGGACTCGCCCGCACCGCGGGGGTCCCGAGCTGGCTGGGCGGGAGCCGGCCGGGCTGGGTCCTCCGGGTTCATTGACTCTCCCGGGGCAGGAGCCTTGCAACGGGCGGGTCCTGGCAACCCCGGCCCAGGCCGAGCCCGGGAGCGCACGGGCCAGGGGGCTGCATCGCAGGCACCCCCGGAAACCCCCGGCCGAGGCAGTGGCTGCTCCCCGGCCCCTGCGGGGCACTGGGGTTTCCCTGCCCCAGCTCCGCAGCGCAGCCCCCCTCTGGCACCGGCTGCGTGGCTCCTAGGGACCCCGGGGGTGTCTCTGTTGGCACCGGCTTCGGGGCGCCGCAGGGACCCACGTAGGAGTCCAGCTTCCCGGGAGCGGGGCTCCTCAGCTCCCCGCCAGGGCAAAGCCCAGGAGCAGAACCACACAGGGACCGTGGAAACCCCCCCAGCGCCCTGACCCGCCGCTCAAGGCCCTGGGGATGCGGGGGAGCTCAGCACCTCCCCGGAAGAGCTCGGCTCCTGGCAGGCTCATTGGGGGTGCCCCCGGACGCGGCCCCCCCGCTTTGCTCCAAGAGCTGCCCTGCAAGGGGTTGGGCGCCCGTTGGCCAGTGGGGGTAATTCAGCTCCCCCCCCCACCTTCCCCCCGCCCAGCCCCGCGCACTGACAGCGGACCAGACCCTGCCTTTGCTCACTGGGGTCAGGGCTCCGCTTGGACCCCGAAAGAGCCCCCTGGGCATAAGCAGCTAATCGCCTGGGCCCGGAGCTGCTCAAGGGGAGCCCCTTCGCTTTTTATTGTGTGTGGGGGAAGGGGGGAAAATATCAGGGCCCCTAATGGGCTAGCCCCACCCCTGCCCTCCCCACCCCCCCATTTAGCCAAGGGGACCATGCTGGCCACCTCCCCCCCCCCACGCACTGAGACCTGATTCTACATTTGACCTTCACTCTCCCCAGCAGCAGCTTCCCAAACCTTATCCAGATCAGGGACCGGCTTGTGCCCCCCGCACTGCGCCAGGGGATCCCAGGGACCGGCGCTGGTCCGCAGACCCGTCCTTGAGAAACACTGCTCTACAGGCCAATACCCCCCCACCATCAAAGGGCCCCAGAGCAGTTGGAGCCCCTTAGCGAATGAGCTAAGAACCTGGGTTTGAAAGTTGCCTGGAGGAAGCCTGGGAGCAGAGGGAATTATTACATGGGCCCTGATGCACTGCGCTCCAGGAAGGTATAAAAGAGCCGTAAAAACAGCTGTCCTCTGAGAGCTGCCAGGAGGCTGCCACATGGGGAAGCTGGCCCTGGTCTGCCCAGGAGCCTGGGGAAGGGGAAGTCAAACACTGCCGCAGCCCGCTCAGACTCTGCAGCGGCCCTGAGGCTTCTCCACTGCACTGGCCTGGGGAGTCCTAGCAGAGGGCTGGCGTATGGTACAGGGGCAGAGTTAAGGTAGGGGCTGGTAGTCATTTCCTCAGCTTTGGCCCTCCTGGTTCTCAGAGGTTTGTATTTAGCCACCCTCCTCCGTCCAGCAGGCCAGCAGGCCCTGCCAGCCTCAGCCCTGGTAACAGCTACGGGAAAGAAGGCTTCGCCCAGTTTGCCTGCGGCTACCTTCAAGCGGAGCATAGGTTTAACACATCACAGAAAGAAGGGAGGTGCTACTGTTTCCAAGTCTCTTCCAAGGTGCCGTAAACACGGGAAAAGGGGATGTGGGATGAACCTGCAGATGCCCAGGGGAGCAGACATCATGCACAACCCAGGCCTAGGAGATCCGGGACAGACCATGCCGCTAGCATGAGCTGTAGTCCAATCCCTGAAGCTGGAGCAGGCCCAGAGATGACCCCAATTCATCCGTCTCTTCAAAAGCAGCTGGGCCTGTTCTCAGTGTAGTGACTGGCTTCTCATTCCCTGCAGGGCTATAGAAATCCTTTTAACGGTCGCTATTGACTTGATGGTAGGAAGCTTCGCCTCCTTCCCAAGAGAGGGGCCTTTTGGTGCTGGTTTTATGCTTGCTGGGACCCAGCCCCAGAACCCAGTTCTAGTTACTCAAATCCACAACCCGATGATTCAATCTCCATCTCCCCCCGACAGCTCCAGCACCACTGAAGGTGAGGTGCAGGCTGAGGGCAGACTCCTAAGCTCTGTTCTACCCTGCTGCCCACCTTGCCCGGGGACCTTGGGCAGGCAATTTCACCCATCACCCCCTGACTTCACCGGGGAACTGCCATTAATCCGTCCGTAGGGAAAGCCGGGCTGGCCAGTGCTTTGAGATCCTCAGGTGAAAGGTGCTGCTGGAGTGCTGTGTACATTTGGACATTTGCAGCCTTCGCTAGGGAAAACTAATAACGTCGATACCGATAGACACAACTCTAGGAGCACGGCCCATGCCCTGCGTGCAGTAACTAATGCAAATGGTGACCTGACCCCTCAGCTGAGGGCAGTTACTCAATGCTGGGATTTAATTCATTGCTTCACTTAGTTTAGAGACACCTAATGAAACATTTCATGGCAGCGACATCAAAGCACAGCTTACTGGGAACACACTAATGTGCACCGTACATTTTCTACTGATCAAGGGGGTTTTGTTCTGTTAATGGAAGTTTGCTGCTTGCAGGCAGGTATGAACCCCGCACACAGGCACCTGTCATGTTCCATCTGAGAACAGAAATCGAGGCTCCCGCCACAGCCCACTGCCCTCACTAACACCCAGAAAGACTATTCCACCCCACACACACTATCCAACCTCCGTCACCCCCCCACACCCTCCGCACAATTCCCCCACAACCAACTATTGCACCACCCTCCCTCACTCACACACACACTATCCCACCCCAACTCTCACACACAATCCCCACACACACTATCCTACCACCCTCACTCACTCACTCACACACTCCCCTCACGTATACACAAGAGGCCTAATAAATAATGTCACAGCTAAACCCCTCTGTAGCAGCCTCACTGGGCAGTGGCCAGCACTGATGTAACAAAGAGAAGCACATCACAGGGTTATAGGAGTGTCTGCACACAAGGCATGGGCCTGAGCAAACTGCAATTCCCTTCACAAAATCCCAGTGCACGCCCAGCGTTCTGTCTTGCTCCCATGACTGGTGCAGCCTAGGGGAGCTACTTATTTTATCTTCCCACCTGTAGCTTGGTGCTTTACTTCCCCTGGGTATGCACTATCTGGGCTGTGACAGACACTTCATCTTCAGTGTGCAGAGCATTAACTTGTGCCCTGGGGCCAAATCCAGTCCTGACTCACACTCCTCAGGAAACCCTCCATATCAACAAGGTTGCAAAGCATGTGAGAGAGACACGGGCCCATTGCAAAAGCAACTGATCTGCTACCATTGCTCCAGAAATTCACCCCTCGAGTGCAGTGCAGGGCCCTGCCGCCTAGCACCTGAACGGGAAAAACGACTGCGTTGGGGAGCATTTCCGTGAGAGGGGTTGATACCTGGCCCTGACATCAAACTGACTCTAACTAAGGCGAGGAGCAGATCTAAACACACCGGCAGCATGACACGACTCCAGCGGTGCAAAGCATTCAGGAACCCCCAAACAAGGCAGAACTTGTTACAACTCCCAGTCACCCCTGCAAGGGCCCAGTTCTGCTCCCTCCAAGTTGCTGGGAACATGATGCTCGCAGCCTGTGGAAGCCAATGGAGTTGCATGGATGTGCACAAGGGCTGGCTTTGGCCTCAAGGGCCTGGGAAAGTTTGCAGAGCTCGCAGCCTGAGGTTTGTGCTCCATTTTAGGTGCACCTCTTCCCCGCCCATAGCTCCCGGAAGGGGGTTCTGGGCTGGTTCTGAGTTCTGGAGCCCACAGTGAAATTCCAGGGGTGCGAATCTCATGGGAACAAAAGCCACTAGCCAGCCCCCTGCAAGCAAAACTCCTGTCGCTCCTCACAAAGTTCTGCGGGGCCCAGCTTGTTTGGGGCTCTGCCCCTCTGACGCACGGCGGTCTCCTCCTTCCGCACACGCTGCCCAAGCAGAGGGCTCCAGCTCGCTGAGCTTTCGCATGGGGGTGGAAGCTGCACTCCCAGTGGGTTGTGCAGCGAACAGGAAATAGACTCCAGCAGGGTAGGATCACTTCATTCAAACACACCATTACAAGAGCCTCGTCTCTAATAATAGCTGCAAATCAGCCCTCGGTGCAGAACAGCAGTGCTTTGGCTATTGTTAGAGGAAGGAAAACTCCCCTTAAAAGCTCAGCAGCCCCGTCATTCACTATCATGTTCCTCCCAAGGATCTCAGGGAAGTAGCTGGGTGCCTGAAGAGCAGGGCAGGGGGTGGAGCTGTACCAAAGAATCGTTGTCTCACAAAGAATAGAAGAGGCAATCACAGCCTCAAGTTTGGTGGGGGAAACGATCCAAAATGGCAAGGACTGAAAGCAACTGGGAGCCAAAGACTATTGCTGTCTCCTGCATGTATTGCACCCTAACCAAGAGCCCGAGGGGAAATTAGACAGTATATTACTGAAGGGAAGGATTTCTGTATGCTACGCAGTCAGCTGATTGGTAATGGGGCCATCGGCCCCTCTGCTCTAGTACTCTGGCCTTACGTCAGCCTGGGGAATAAAAGCTGGAATCAGCTGATGGCTCTTTGCAAATGCACACCTGCTGCTAAGTTGGTGGCAGTCTGAGCTGGGAAGTCCAGGGACGGTCTCCCACCCACACCTGTAACCCCTTGAAGCACGCTGGCAGAGCAGAGCCATGTGTGGTAATGGGGACTGTGACTTTAAGGGCTGAGCTTCCCAGACAGAGAGCCTGGGCAGGGTGCTGGGAAGCTCTTGTTATGCACAGCCAGCTGGACCCAGACACCAAATAAAGCAGATCTCTTCTGTGCTCCTTAAGCACCGAGTCCTTGAAGACCACATCTGGCAAGCGTGTTCTGCCATTGCCCGGATGTACTAGTCCTCTGGACGGCTTGGCCTGAGGAATCTTCCCTGGGTCAGTTGCTCTCAGCACTAAGGAGTTTTAAACGACTAACTCTTTAACCTCTTCCCCAGCCTCGGAGGCTTTTGCAGGCTCTGTTTGTACCTTTCACTCTCCCCAAACCTAGAGATGACACCACTGAAGAGGCAGCAGGAAGGACATTTGCTCCCCTACCTCACAAGCAACCCCAACATCCAATCACACCCAGATGTGTCCAGCTCTCTCTCAAAATTAATTCAGTGCTTTACCCCCTGGCTCCCGCTGGGAGGCTGTTCCAGAACCTCACCCCTATGAGGATTAGAAACTGCCTGTTAGTTTCCAGCCTGAATTCATGGCCAGTTTAGCTGCATTTGTTCTTGTGCCAAGCCTGTCCTTTAGCTTCAATGGCTCTTCACCCTCCCTGGTGTTTACCCCTCACGTATTTATCGAGCGCAGTCAGCTCCCCTCGGGGCTGTCTTTTGGCGAGACTAAACAAGCCGCGCTGTTCCAGTCTCCTCTCCTCCAACCCCTGATCAGCCGAGTAGCTCTTCTCTGCACCTGTTCCCAGGGGGTAGACACATTTGCCTGCATGACACACATCCTGCAGCCTTGCCCCTCACCAATTAACCCATCTTCCTGCTGCCAAACTGCTACACAGCCAGCATGGCTGTAGGGAAACTTTTCCGTGGGCTAAGGTGCCACGTACATTAACAATAAGCTGTACCCCAGACGGTGAATTTCCACGCCAGTGTGTCTGTCTGTGGGAGGAAAAATACACCTCATCCTAGCACATCCTCTGGGCTTAAACTAGGATAGTGGTAATAATGAGAACGGCCCTCATGAGGGATCTCCCCGGAAGTAATTGTTGGGTATTTAGATCCTGTTTCATGAGGACTCTCTCATGTTGGGTGCCCAGCTGGAGAGCAGGAGTTCAGAGCTCCCTGGAGCAGTACAAAGCAGCAGTACAAAGCCGCCCCCCCACCCCCTTGTGTGTTGGTTGTGAGGAAAGTTTGGGAAACAATTTGTATTAAAGTGAAAAAGTGGCTCAAGCCTCAGCATTCCCTGGAGGTGGCTTGGGCCAGGTGTGGAGACCGGCAGCTCTCCTGGGCCCATTACCCCAAGTTCCCTGGGACTAAGGCAGCACCAATCCTTAAACAAGTGAAGCACCTGGAGGGGCAGGGGTGGGGTTCAGCACTTTGGGAAGCAGCAAGGTGTGTGCCGTACAATGGCACAAGCTGTCCCAGCTTCACACTGCGGGGCCTGGGCCAAGTGTTGGTGGGAATTCACAATAGCAACTGATTCCAAAGTTTTTATTCCAATAACCGGAAACTGAAAAGGGGAGATGCAGCTTCAACCTCCCTTCCCAAGGCACCACCGGAGCCTCCCTCTCAGCCCAGACAGCAAACGCCCAGAGTTAGACAGGGACCAACGCCCAAGCAGAGGGCTGCGCTGGTGCGGCATTGCACGCCAGACACTGCAGAGTCCTGGCCAGCCCCGAGAGCAAGTGGCTCAGCCTGTTTCACCCCCAGGCAGGAGCCAAGACAGCGCTGGAGGATTTTAAAAGTGCAATGATTGAAATGACCTTGATTATCTCTGCCGTGAAATACTCACTCAGAAGGCAGCTCTCTGCTTGGCAGGCTGGGGCAGGCGGGCGAGTCGGCGATCTCGTTAGTACCTCCAAAGCGAAACTCCAGACCAACGAGCCTTGGCCTTAATGGTTCAGATGGACTGTCCCACACGGCCGGGGACGGGGCTGATTTGCAGGCCCTCTGTCTCTTGCGTGGGTATTTAAACATGCACACGCACACACCGTCTTGTGCTGGAGGCCCAGCCAATCTCCTCCCCGCTGGGGGCTAGGCTTGGGGAAGACGGGGCCAAACTAGTTGCCTCATTGGCTTCTGTGGCCACGTGACTGCGCTAAAAAATAATTAAGATACAAAACCCTGCTCATAAACTAGCATTAGAAAGTGACGGAGTGGAGATAAGTGGGACCTTTGCCATAGATAAAGCAAGAGGGAGAAGAAACATGCAAAGGGAGGGATGGGATGGACACAAACGAGCCAGGGAGGGGAGAAGGAGTTCATTAAAACACAAGGGAGGGGAATGGAACCAGGCGGATTTACAGCCCCGCTCAAGCACGGGGTGGGGCTATTTGGTCCCCTCTCCTGCCCTGAGATATAAAAGAATGGGGGATTGTGCACCCACCCTTCCCATACAGGCCAAGCACAACTCGGGGCCCCTGGGAAGAGACTCCCTCCTTTCCATCAGGCAGTGCCATTCCTGGGATTGGAAACCTAGGGTTCACGGACTTGTGCCACTAGGGTCCAAACCAGTCTGGCTTGGGGGACTCAAGGGCTCCAGAACTTAACGAAACACTTCACAGCTCATCATCCAAGCTCATAAGAACAGCCATAGGGGTCCATCCAGCCCAGGATCCTGTCTCCCGACAGTGGCCGGTGCCAGATGCCTCAGAGGAATGAACAGAACAGAACAATTATCGAGTGATCCATCCCCTGTCATCCAGTCCCAAATACTGGCAAACAGAGGCTAGGGACATCCAGAGCTTGGGGTTGTGTCCCATTGATGGACCTACCCTGCATGAACTTATCTACTACTTTTTTGAACCCAGTTATACTTCTGGCCTTCAAAACAGCCCCTGGCAAGGAGTTCCACAGGTTGACTGTGCATTGTGTGAAGAAATACTTCCTTATGTTTGTTTTAAACCTACTACCTATTCATTTCATTGGTTGACCCACTGGTTCTTGTGAAGGGGTAAATAACACTTCCCTATTCACTTTCAAGGCACCATTCGTGATTTTAGGGACCTCTAGCATATCCCCCCTTAGTCGTCTCTTTTCTAAAATGAACAGCCCCAGTCTTTTCCCTGCGGCCACAGAAAGCTATTAATAGACATGTTTGTGTAGAGAACTGGAGAAGTCCAGGGCAGACAGCTCCTTGGATTTACAGAAACAAAATCTTCCCCTTTTATTATTATGCACAAAGTTCCCGAGGGGAGAGCGAGAACTCGGAGCAGCACCATAACCAGTTTCCAGGCTGCGCCTCTTTCTGCTCTGTAGCGGTCACACCTCAGCTGAACAGTGTTCCTTCTAAGTCAGACACAGGGGCAAGCTAGAACATTCGTTGTCACATTATTTCCTCCCCCCACAGAGCCCCTGGGGAGATTTTATTATAACATAGGGAGCTGGTGTCTAATTAACCAGTGTGAAATAGACTCAGGTACTGAGCCCCCAGTTGCTAAAACCTAGTGCAAAGAACATATATAGCAGTTAAAATACTTTGTGTAAAGCATATTTTAATGGAAATCGTTTTTTTAAAATTTAGATTGAAATAGAACCTTGCGATGATTCCAGTTCAAACATTGCAGCATTTTGCTTGTGCATAAAAGCCAGAAAGTGAACCTGACTGGGATATTTTCATTCTCCAGTCATGGAAGTTTGAGGTGGGAAAAAGCCATTTGATGAAGAAAAAAAACATGTTAGAGAAAGTAATACTCAGAAGGCACTGACTGGAAACTAAAATCCTTTGTTCAGCATGGAGATCCTTTAGGACCCCTTGGTCTACCCCATATCACAGACAAATGCTAAAACAAGCACACTGCAAGAAAACTAACCTTAAGTGGCCTAAGGGACACGTACAAAGGTTTGTTGTGGGACCACGAAGTCTCCTTGTAACGGGCGTAGAGTGACCAGATAGTGAATGTGAAATATTGGGCCGGGGGTGGGGGGTAATAGGCATCTATACAAAACAAAGCCCTGCATAGTGGGACTGTTGCTATCAATTCAGGACAGCGGGTCACCCTAAATAGACCAGCACCCAAGGGCCTGGCTAAACACACCAACCCCTTTGGCAGATTGGACATAAGAGTGAGGACTGGCCCCAGTCCTGCAGAGAATCCCGGAGATGGAGATCTTTACCCACCTACACTGAAGTCAGTGGGTTCAGTGCAGGGCTCAGGACTAGGAGACAAAAAGAGCAAATAGCTGGATGCCGTCTCTCTCTCTAGCAAGTACATCAGAGAGACTCAGGCAGGGCTCCATGTGTGAGCAGTCACCCACACAAAAAGCCCCACTGAATTCAAAAGGGCTGTGGAGGCCTGCTCATTGGAGGGGGGGTGGGGGAGATAAGCGCTAACAAAGGTATGCTAACAACAGCCATTCCCCTGCGGTGGCATTGCCCCGGCTTCCCTCTTCCAGGACAGACGCATTCTGCAGTGACACCAGATCACCCAGGGCTTGGATTTGACCAGGCATTTTAACATAGCCTTTGCAGGAAAGCATCGAAGTGAGAGAGTCGTTCACAGCCCACAGACCCAACAGCAAACGCCCAGCGGAAGTGCCCCACGGAGCATAGACCAAGGCAGAGCATACGGTGCCAACCAGAATCAGGCACCACAGAAAGCTTCCGTGGAGGTCTGCTCTAGTCCCACCTGCTTACTACCTGGGTTCTAACCCCCAGCCTGGGGTCTGTCTCAGCCTCAAGACAAGAAAAGCCTGCAGGATCTGCCCTCTCTAAAAAACCCCACCGTTCAGGTGTCTCCATCAGCCGTATCAAAAGAAATGAGCAGAAGGAGAGATGATTTCATACTGCTGCTAGGAAGACAGGACAAGGGTCAGGGTTTGAGCTTCAGAGGAGCCAATGTAGCAGAGGTGGATTAGCTATAATTAATATCTATGAGGAATTAAAGGGGGGGAAGGACTGCTCGTGTTAGCAGTTAAACATCAGTTTGGTCTCAGCAGCATTAAAAATAAGATTTGTCCTGCTACTAATATTGCCCTCGGTTGCAAAGGATGCTGCTTGCTCACCCGGAGGGGAAATAAGCCAGCAGAAGCAGTTACATGGTGAGAATGAGAGGACAGGCATGTATGCTGGTGAGCAAATGGCAGTGGCCATTGTGTATGCAGCGCAGAGCTGAGCTGAGCGCCAGCATCGCTAGGTACCTTATCCCATGTCTCTCAGTACTGGGGGGTTTACGATAAAGCCCCAGCTCCTGGAGTCAAGTGATTGTATCAGACTCTCAGTTTTCATTTTTACAAAAAGAAAAGGAGTACTTGTGGCACCTTAGAGACTAACCAATTTATTTGAGCATGAGCTTTCGTGAGCTACAGCTCACTTCATTGGATGCATACTGTGGCATCTGATAAAGTGAGCTGTAGCTCACGAAAGCTCATGCTCAAATCAATTGGTTAGTCTCTAAGGTGCCACAAGTCCTCCTTTTCTTTTTGCGAATACAGACTAACACGGCTGTCACTCTGAAACCTTTCATTTTTACAGTGTTTCTAATTCCTCCTGTTAGTGGAGAAAAGCTCGAAAACATGACCCAAAGGTGCCCAACAGCTGAGAAACCAGAAGGCAAATGAAAACCTACAATTGTTTTTTTTTTATAAAAGCTCATGATTTTTGAATTGATCAATTGACTCATGAATTGCAAATGTTTGGGACTGGTGCTATGGATACCCAGGGGCAGCTGGGAGAGTGGACAATGGCTCCGTCTGGTCAGAGATGGGGAGGAAGATAGCTGTGCAGTTAGGGGCTGCGTGGAGAGGGCTGGAACCAGGAGTGCTCTGCCTTGGAAGCCAGGTCGGCTGGGCGCTGTTTGGGCCATGGCTAACTTTAATGGGGATTGATAAAAGCTCAGCTCTTATCCAGTGTTTTTCCTCTTAAGATCTCCAAGCTCTTTACCCAGGGGGGTTGGTATCATAACCCCCATTTTACAGGTGGGGAAACTGAGTCAGAGCTGCTGAAAAATGAAGACAATGACAGTGGGATCCTGGCACTTCACAAAGGGATGGAGGGTTAGTTAGTTAGTGTTTGTAAACACCAAGCAAGGCCTGGAAAAGCAGCCTCCATGTCTAGGAAACAAAGAAAACAGCCTTCCTCAGCTCTGGGAGACAAGAAGCTAGAACCTTCCAGCCCTGTGGGATAAGACCCTTAATAATTCAGGTCCTGAATACTTGTGGACTGCTTAGATCTTACCCTCCCTCCAGCTGAGAGAGACCTTGCTCCTTTCCTGGACTCCTTCCAGAGCTGGCTCAGGTCAGGGAGTCCAGCTACTGAGCTCCTTCCTTGTGTCCACTGAGCCCTTCTGCAGCTCCAGCCATGTGACCCTTTGTCTAGCTTAGGGCAGGCAGATGGAGTGGGGGGAGGGGTTCCCCATCATTTCTGCTTTGTGAGACATTGGCCCCTAGTCCACTCGGTCTGGTGCTGACAACGACCCCCACAAGGGGCTACGGTTCAGCAAACAGCCAACTGCAACCACTGCCCTGCAACCCAGGGCTCTGGGCTTGTCACCTTAGACTGCTAGCACCACGGGGCAGGCCGCTGGAGCTCAGCCAGCAAGAGGAGTCCTGCCTAGATAGAGAGACCCCAGCCCCGGGCGCAACAGAAAGCCGAGAGAGGCTGCAAGGACAAGCCCCTGGCTCTGCAGGCCTGGTTGTTTTTTCCTTGCTGTGCAGCTGAAGCGAAGAGAAAGCAAATGAAAACACAACTCTGGAAGAAGAGCCAGGCTCTGGAAAGGCAGCTTCCGCCACGATCCCAAGCAATTATCAGCCGAATGCCAGATGTTCCGATGCGATGCCAATGTCATGGAAAATAAATCTTTGGCAGGTTCAAGGTCTTGGCCGGGCTGGGTATACAGCGACTCAGCTGCTCAACACAAAACACAGGCAGGGAAGGCTTCTTCACAGAGTGTCCACTTCCTCCCGCCGGGCATTGTTCCCCCGGGATGCCCCGACCACACACTGCTCACTTGCTATTTTTGCAGCTAGGTGTTTTCAGGGGTA